AAAATGAATTTTTTCGAAAAATTCCAAATGCATGTTTCATAATTCTTCATTCCCTACATTTTGACGGTTGTTCCATGAAAATTGGTCGAGTGCTTCTATATGAAACAGCAAACTCACCCCCTTTCACGGCCAACTTTGAAGCCTGATTTCACCCCCTAAAAGTGTTTATCCGCCGATAAAAAAAAACACGGGTCCCTTAGATTTTGGTCCACTATAACATATTTAAAAATGAACAAAATCGGAGGGGGACACCTCAGGTACCTTCCTTGTCAGTCTCCGTCTCTCGATAATTTAACACGTCTCTCGTCAGCCTTCACCATCATCTCTGTAACAGTTATCCTTATTCACGCGTGAAGAGCTGACAAAATTCTAAGTCAGTCGTCTAATTTAATATTATAATAAACTTAAGTTGTTTTGTTCGCGACAGTCTCACTCTTCATTCGGGTACCTTCCTTCTTCATGTGAGCAGTTGTATGAATATCTCATTTTGCAATTCCACTTGCAAAAACCATCGGGATTCATACAACAACTGCGCGACAAATTAGCCGGGCAGAACAATTAATAATATTTATTAATTCTATTCAATTTAGAAGTTTCATTTCGCACGCGCATTGCGTCCACCCGCAACAAGAAATTTGATTAAATCAATACAATTTTTGTTTGTTTAACGACAGAATGTACCTCTTATAAGGACAAGTAAATATTTGGTTGACATGACATAATTCATCGGTTGGCAACTTTTGGTTGATTGCATCAAGCATTATGGGGGACCACATCATGTATTAATTTGGCACATTTAACCAAAATATTTGGTTTATTAAGTGAAAGATTTTCTAAAACTGACAAAACAGTTTAATTAAACTCTTCCGTTGATCGAAGCACATCGGTTTGGTTAAGTGGACTAAAATTCGGTTCACATAAGCAAAACGTTTTCTGATATGAACCAAATGCAGCCAATCAAACGATTATGTAAACGAATTAAATGTTTGTTTTTGCGTGCACCCAACAATTTATATTTTATTTTTGACTGACGTTCGCTCGCAAGTCTTTCCTAATTTTCTGGGCACGCGTATAACAAAAAATCGCTTAACTTAAAAAAGTGTTGTGGTTGAGTAAACCGAATTTAAGTTCACTCGACCAAACTTATATATTCCGATAGATTTAGGTAATTGAAACATTTTAGATATAAAGTGTTTAATCGGATGGTTTTGTTAAATGTCAAATATATTTTATTGAACGAACCAAATACTTTGGTTAAACGTCCTCAATTTCTTTCATATTTGGGGAGATCTTCTACAATGTTTGTGTTAATCAACCAAAAGTCATTAACCAAACAATTTCGTGACGTAAATGATATACCTGGTTGTCCGTATAATAGCCATATTCCATGGTTAAACCATCAAAGATTATATTAATTGAAGACAATTTTTTTCCGTGTGCAGGAGGTTGGCTCTTTTTAAACAACTTTAATCTCTCCTATCTAGGCGTTCGCCTCAAAGGCCCTGCCAGCGTCGAGAGGCTTTCTCGGCGAATCGCCTTAATTTCGGAAAATTCCCTTCTCCCCCTCTTTAATCCTCCCTCCGTATCTTTATTTTTCCAGCCCTCCCACCACAAAAATCAAATTCCTCTTCATCAAAGTCCCTGCCGAGCGATGCCGCGGTTACCTCGCTCTTTTTCTCCCGCTTTGCCCCTCTAAAAAGCCCAAGCTCCGGCGAGTGTTTAAGATTCCAGGGCGATTCTTTCCTCTGGAGGCCGAAAGCTCGCCGTTGCGCAACGAACCAGCCGGCCGGAAAAGAAGAAATCGATGCCCACCCCAAGCGCGAGAGAGTGGACACCTCCGGATTAGATCCGCATCGGTTTCAGGGGCTAGGAATGGACGCGTGGGATTTGCCACGAGGATGGGGCCAACTACCGGATAACCTGCCTCCTTCCGAACCACTTTCGCTTCCCGAGACCCATTTCGAGCCCCGCCGAAATCTGCCCCTCCGCTTCCAAAGTCCTCTCGAACGGCTCCGAAAGGTTTAAGGTGAAGTGAAACCCCCTTCAAATCAGTCGATTCGAATACAATACTTTTTTTTAAGAGTATTGGACCAAACTGTCCGAAGCTTTGAAACATGACCCGTGATCATCTGACAGCTGTCCTGATATATTCAAAATTAGGATTTTTGGAAAACACTTTTTAACTTAGCCCAGACCAGAACCAAAATGGCGTCGAGCTCTCATATTTCGATCAATATACAATTATCGAAGACTCTGATATGCGAAACAAAAGGGTCGGGACAATTTTACGACAATTTAGAACACTCTGGTAATCCATAAACTCGCATTTTAACAGGATAAAGGCAAAAAAAGTATTTTATGCGCTTCTATGCTAAAACGATGGAAATACAAGGTCTCGGAGTGAAAATTTAATTGACCTGGAAATCACAGATGACGCAGGGCGTCCCTCTGCAGTCTATTAGGGCCCCAGAAAGCATGAATCCAGAAGATTTCTGGAGTTTTACTTCGATTTCTGTATAATTATTGTACGAAAACGACAGGTGGAGTATGCCATTTGGTACAATACTCAATATAATTCGACACAGCTGTCAATATAAAAATGAACGTCGGCAACGTAGGCATTTAGAAAAATATTCTTTATCGACGTCGACCAAGTTCCTCGACGTGTTTCACTTCATCTTATGGTGATATAAAAGGCGCTGAGAAATTTAGTCGAAGTCAATAAATTAAAATTAATCTATACCCTTTTTGGTGGTAACGTCATTTTGAATACTCAACTGGTAACATAATCTGGCGCGTCGCGTTACCGACATTTATATTTATCTTAAAGTCTTTTACAGTCTACGTTGAGAATTATATGAAATGAAGCGTTCCATATGTCATTTCGACAAAGCAATAATGAAGAGATCGATGTAAAACTATCGAAATCCCGTAAATTCATTATTCTAACGACTGTTTAGGACCAACGTCGCCATCTGTGACGTTTAACTGTAACTAAATTATTCCTCTAAAAACACGTCTTAGCCACCGGACAAGCCAGCATTCTCTTGCAATCGTTGGTGAAAGTATTTTCCATATTTTTCAATCTGACTCTGTAATATTCCATTTCTACGGTACTCTAAATTGTTCGAGCTAGGTTCTGAAACTTTTCATTTTCGATTCTAAGCCTCTGTTCGGTTTTGGAGCACGAACGGGAAAATAACGAGAGCTATTGCCGGGTGCGAAGGCTAACCGTGGAATAAAGTTTTTTATTACAATGAGTTATCCTCGACAGCGAACTTAATTGTAATATCGGTTAAAAACGACCGCACGCGAATGACTCGAATACGACGGATGAGACGCGAGCGCACGTGAATTGAAGTTGCGGAATTGAAGAAGAAACCCGAGTAACTTCGAAGGCCGAGAAGGAAGGTGTTGTCCGTCGGAGATTTGGTGAAGATCTGACTCGGTGACGCTTGTCAGAAAACCGGGAGCTTACGAGCGGCTTCTCCGAGGGTGGAGTTAGCAATTTGATCACCGCGGATTGGTTAGTAAGGAGCGGTGATGTTAGTGAAAAATTGTGACTATTGGTCGAAAAATATTGGAGAGGGAAACTGCACGAGCAGGAGAAGGGATGTTAATAACAATTCGAAGTAGGGGCCGTTNAGACGGTGCATATTGCACGGCCTAATCCGTACTATTACAGGTCTAAAGAGATAGGTTAGAACGCGAAACGAAATCGCTAATAGGAAATAAGTGCGAATCAACGGTATAGACTTAAAAAAAATTTTAATGAATTAACGTTGAATAAAATGCTAAGGATAACAATACTTATAAATAATTCATATTAATAAGCTCAAACTAGACATGCCAGTAAAATAATTGAAAAAAAATGTGTTAGAATCAACGTAAAATAAAATAAGATTGTAAGTGTTAAACGAGAAGAGTAAATCAAAGGGAATAATCGAAACTAAAATTCGAGACGACCCAAGATCACAGAGAAATTCGCGCGAAGTTGGAGCAAGATCGCAGAAAAACTAAGTAAATACAATTGTTCGGATTTGGAGCACGAACCCGGTGAGTGTGAGCGGTTGGGACCGCTTGGACCCTGGCTGCTCGAGCCATTTCGGACCGTGCCACCAAAGGTCGAAGTTGGGAAGGTCCGCTGGATCGAGACCTCTGGAGGCGCAATCGGCGGGATTTTCGGCAGAGGCTACGTGCTGCCATATGAGGTCCGGGTTTGTAGTTTGGATCTCTGCAACGCGATTTGCCACGAAGCAGGTCCATTTCAACGGATGTCCTTGTAACCAGGCGAGGACAACCTTTGAATCGGTCCAGGCGAAGGTACTGATGCCTGTGGGACCTGTAGTCTGTCGCACTGACTTGATGAGGCGAGTGAGGAGCACCGCGTCGCACAGCTCCAACCTGGGGATGCTGACCTACTTCAACGGGGTGACCTTGGATTTCGCCGCAATGAGCGAGGTGGCAGCTGATCCTGACTCGTCGATGACGCGCAGATATACAACGGCTGCGTATGTGTGTATAGAGGCATCGCAGAATCCGTGCAGTTCACATGTGACTAGTGATGCGCGGCATCCGGTCCATCGTGGGATAGAGAAGTTTTCCAGCTGCTTCAACTGGTCGTGGTACCGAGACCATTCGGAGACGATGTCCATTGATGGGGTTTGGTCCCAGTCCACTCGAGCTAGCCACAGCTTCTGCAGGATGACCTTCGTTGTGATAACTGCGGGAGCAAGCCAACCCAGTGGATCGAACAATCTCGCGATAGCCGAGAGGATTGTCCGTTTGGTTGGTGCAGCGGGTGTTTGAGGCATAGTGATCTGAAACTGAAAGGCGTCAGTGGACGGATTCCACACTAGTCTCCCAGTGTTCGTACGTGCTCGTCGGGTTTTAAGGAGATGAGCGCTGATGACAGTTTGAAGGAGGCTGGAATGTGGTCCAGCAGCTGCGGGTAATTAGAGACCCACTTTCGAAGCTGAAAACCACCAGCGTTCAGTATTTCAATCAGCTGCCTCTGGATCCTTCTGAGCTGTGGCTATATCGTCGGCGCCGAAGAGCGCGTCGTCGACGTAAAAGTCGTTGCGCAACGCCTCCGCCCCGAGTGGGAACCTGGCCTGCTCAGCTTCAGCAAGTTGCTGAAGCGTTCGGATCGCTAGATACGGAGCAGCGGCAGTTCCATACATGACCGTGGTCAAGCGATAGCAGGTCATCGGGTCACTCGGGGATGCTCGCCAGACGATGCGCTGAAGATCCGCGTCCTCGGGATGGATGCGGATTTGGCGGTACATCTTCTCGATGTCCGCGTTGCACACGAACTGATGGTTCCGCCACTTCATGACGACGGAGTTCAGGTCTTGCTGAAGGGCTGGTCCTGTGTGCAAGCATTCGTTAAGGGAGGTATCTGCAGCAGTTTTCTGAGATGCGTTGAAAACCACGCGTAACTTCTTGGTGACGCTTGATTCGCGAATGACGCCATGGTGTGGCATGTAGTAGGAATTGATGTCAGATGACCTGGTAGCATCGACAGACTCCATGTGCTGCAACGCTTGGTACTCCTCCATGAACGCCGCGTAAGCGGTCGCGAGAGAAGGTGACCGCTCCAGGCGTCGTTCCAGATGCTGGAGCTGTTTCCGGGCGATGGCCTCGGAACCACCGGAAATCGGGCAGTGACGCGGTTTTAACCGGTCGTCGGACCGTGTACCGACCGTCGCTACCGCGGTGGTGAGTGCGACGGAAGTGCCTCTCGCACTCTTCTTCCTCGGCGGTCGGAAAGCGGATGTCAGCCTCTTCCTCTAGCTCCCAGAAACGTCTAAGCGTCGTGCTTAGTTCGGTGTGAGATGTGCTGTGGAGAGAGGTTACTGGCGTGACTCACGAACATGGTCCAGCAGCGATCTCATGAGGCTGTGCGACGGGCCCGGACAAGATCCATCCCAACGCAGTCTGCTGAGCGATGGGAGCGCCGAGTCCTCCGTGGCGAACACCCTCGAGGAGCAAGGGTCCGTAGATGTCGGCTCCGAGGATGAGATCGATCCGTGCTGAGGACGCGTACTACGGATCGGCCAGCGGCAAGTCCTCCAAGTGAGGCCACCGAAGGGGTTGCGGTTGTCGCGGCGGGACTGCGCTGGTTAGTCGCGGCAAAACGAGAGCGCGGGCCTCCAAAACTCGAGATCGTGCGACAAGAGGAGACGGAATTGTACGGCAGATTTGGCAGTGCCGGCGGGAGATGACCCAAGGCCGAGAATCGGTACTTGAATGCGCGAGCGCTTCAGTTTCAGACATTGAGCGGCTGATTCCGAGAGAAAGCTCGCTTCGGATCCTTGGTCCAGAAGCGCGCGAACGCGGACCTGGCGTCCGGACGGAGCTTCCAGAGTGACCATCGCGGTGGCGAGCAATACAGATGGGTCGCGGGTTTGCCGTCCAGCGAAATGAGAAGTCACTGCGGATTTCGATGGTCCAACAGGAGAATCGACTGGACGCGCGTCGTCAGATTTTTGACTGACGGGAGAACTTTGTCGCGATTCCGAGGACTGAGCACTCGGCGCGATGTGCAGCATCGAATGATGCGCTCCGTTGCAGGATGAACAGCGGCGTTCCGATCTGCAGGAGCTTAGAGAATGCCCCCCTGCGAGACATTGGTAATAGAGTTGTAGGTGCGCGACCAGTTCGTTGCGCTGCTCTGGAGATCGGCGTCAAATTCCGGACAGAAGCCGATGTAATGCTGCCTTTGGCAGGAGGGGCAGGACCGCAACTTTTTATTGTTTGTCGTGGAAAGGTGCGCTCGTACGCCCGGAGTGCGAGACTTGGAGGCTCCTAGACCGCGCGAGGGAGGCTGTAAGACCGCGCTCGACGGTTTGGAAGAGTCGAGAGCGCGAATCTGAACGTCAAGAAATTTGACGAGCTCCTCGAAAGCCGATGGGGAGAGAGTGTCGCCAAGCGACTTTTCCCAGTCCTTCCGCAATTCCGGGTTGAGATTCTGCACCGTGAGATAGACTCGTATGTCGTTTCCGAAAAATTCCTTACGGCCGAGCAAGTCGATGGACCGTTGTTACGTCCCACGTAACGTCACCCCTCCAACCACATATATTAATTAAGTTAAGCGCCGTAATTATTACTTTTCCCAAATATTATGTTATTAATATCGTGTAATATCATCCTCGCTCGACTGTCAATTTTCTAGCGATCACGTGTTAGCAACGTGCTCACAATAGGTAACCGTCACCATGCGAAAGGTGATAAGAACTAGAATCCCTTGTTCATAATCCTCTAGGACAACGATGGCCCGGGCCAGTGGTAGCCCAACTTAGGGCTTCGAACTTATATTGTTAACACAAGTAAGAAAGCTTATAGAAATGGATAATGTTAAGTTGAGGGCAGTGTCCTCCCTCTACTAGAATTTTGAAACAACGCAGTTTTGGAACCGTATAAAAAGGGACGCACCTATGCACCCTCATGTCAGTCCTCAAGGAACTTTTTCACGGTCAGTCCTCAGGGAACTTTTTCACGACAACGAGCATTTCGCGACACCACAAATTTTTACAAGTACGAGCGAGGAAGAAAGCCAATCTTCTTGTTATACAAGGTACTGCATTTGTTCTATGTCCTAATAAATCAATCATTCGCATTTATAAGAGGGCGCGGGGCTTGGTCTAGCTTCCCCTCTATATCTAATTCCTACCATTCCTTTGATACAAGAGGGTGCGGGGCTTGGTCTAGCTTCCCCTCTGTATCAGAAATTCTACTATCCCCTTGGATATAAGAGGGCGCGGGGCTTGGTCTAGCTTCCCCTCTTCAACTAATTTCTATTATCTTCAAAAATGAGTCCGGGCCTAGGCCTAGTTTCCTCAATACTTCATATATTACAATCATATTAGTATTAAGCCCTATTTCACCTAATACACAAATGGTCAGACGATCCGGGAGGAAATATCAACTCCTCGTAACCTTCGCTAAGGCAGAAGGTAGGGCTAAAATCACAACCCGTAGGCGTCCACACAGAGGATCAAGGAAAAGGGCCCAAAAGCAACCCCCGGCAGCACCCCCTTCATCTCCAGAGAGGGTGTTTTTAATTTCTGCGGAACGCCTCGAGATCATCAAGGCGCTCCTCAAAACCTCCACTCCGAGGACAGTTCCTCGTCCCAAACCGCATCGACTCACGAGCGTCGAAGTGCGTACCCCCAATTGGGAACTTATTCCCATCGATATTCCCAAATCCAGCGACTATAACGCCCAGGCGTTAGTACCAGGGGACCCCAGAAAATCCAAGCCTTTTGTTATAACCGTAGAATGAAATAAAAATCAACTTTGTCTATTTCGTAATATAATCAATTTATTTCTTCCCTCCCAGACGTAACACCGTAAGGTTTTCATGGTTTCGTCGCGAAGTGATTTGAGGTCGGAAACGGATTCTCGTTTCACCGCGGGGAGTTTAAAGAGGTGATCCATATGATTTACTAGAAGAACTCGTTTGTTTCGAGCTTTGAGAGCGAGCCACGAGCCTTCGTATTGATCATTGGTGATTGGAGTCCCGTCGAGAAGAGATAAAGCTTCCCCTTCAAGACACGCAAATAGTGCAGTTTTTGCACGTTAGAGAGAGACGGGTTTTCGTGAACCACAGACGTGAAAATGTCGCGGAAAGATTCCCATTCCATGTAAACGCCCTTAAATCGCGGTAAATTAATACGCGGGAGGTGCACTGAGGGCGCGGAAGTGGGGGCCGGCGAGGTACTTTGCGTCGGAGATCCACGTGACTCGAGATGCTGGTAAATCATATCAGACACCAGCGAGTGCCTTTGCTTAAACTTTTGCAACCAACCTTCGGTGACGTACGACGATGCGGACGCGTGCGAGTCCTCTAGAATCTTGAAATGATTCTGCTTGAGGAGGGCAGCAGTCGTTGTGATGTCCTGAAGCTGTTGATTCGGGAGTCCGCGCGTCGGAGTTCGGCTGCTTTCGATGTCAACGATGCAGCAATCCATGTAGGCGATGAAGTCCGTCTGCTTCGCAATGATCTTTTGCGTGGCGGGCTTCAGGGTCGCCGAGGTGCTCTGCTCTTCGGACATGATGATGGCCACGCGCGTCGTCACTCACCGGAAGTGGCCGTACGGTTGCTAATGAATTGAATTAACACTTCGCGGATCCGGCTCGAAGGACCAATAAATGTTCGGATTTGGAGCACGAACGGAAAAATTAAGAGAGCAATTGCCGGGTGCGAAAGTTAACCGTGGTATACAGATTTTTATTACAATAAGTAATCCTTGATAGCGAACTTAATGTTACGATCGGTTGAAACGAACACACGCGAATGATTTGAGTACGACGGACTAGACGCGAGCGCACGTGAAGTGAAGTAGCGGATTTGAAAGATAAACCCGTGTGATTTCGGTGTCCAAGAAGGAAGGTAGTGTCCGTCAGAGATTTGTAGAAGATCTGACTCGGTGAAGCTTGTCCGAAAAACGGGAGCTCGCGAACGGCTTCTTCGAGGGTGGAGTTAGCAATTTGAACACCGCGGATTGGTTAGTTAGGAACGGTGATGTTAATGCAAAAATTTGACAATTGGTCAAAAAATATTGGAGAGGGAAACTGCACGAGCAGGAGAAAGGATGTTAATAACAATCCGAAGTAGGAGCCGTTCTAAGAAAGGCAAGACGATGGAGTGAAGCATATCGTTAAACTATAAAGTAATAAACTGAACGTGCCGAAATTAAATAGCGACGGATTATGCTGTAAAGCAATCGACATGCATTGAAAATAATGGCAGAAAAGGGCAGTTTACGGTAAAAATTGTTAAGGGAGTGCGCCCGTAGGAAAGGTAAAGTACGGTACGCGGAGGGTCCCGAAAGGAACTAAAGAGCGCATCCCTTGCGGCAGACGGTCTCGGTCGCCCCGGACTAATCCGTAACGGGTGCGGAAGCCTGAGCGCGCGGTGCCTTTAAGCGCGGTCGTATTAATGATGGTCAAACTGTTAAATAAACCTCGCGAATAATAACGGGTTCTATCGCGACAAAGTAAATCGATTGAACAACAATAACCCATCTCCCGGTGACGCGTAACATCGCGACAAATTCGTGAAAGACAGCTTCGAGAGCCCAATCTCAAACCGGTACCGACAGTTCGTAATTAGCCACGAAGTGAAAACCTGTACTGGGAAGATATGAACGCGAGTACGCAGACGGTAGGGAAACCGCAGGGCGAAACAATGCAGCCGCGATCGTACCATCCGGCGGAGAAAACACGGATACACAATAATCCGCCGCGAAACAAAAAGGTACCGTTAAAACACGCTATTAATAGAAAAATAAAAATAAAAGACAATCGATAATGGAATAAGGTACTAGGAAGAAATAATTAAAAGAAGGGAATAGACATTAGCGATGTATCAACACAGATGAAACAGTAATCAGTGATAATCTTGCAGTTAAGATATAAACACACCCAAACCGATGAAGCCTACTTTCGCCTCGCACGCGAGAACACCAACATCGCGAGAGCGCTAGGCATCCCCGAGTCCCAAGCACAAGGCGAGCGCAGGAGGACAAAAATCCAATTTATTAAGTTCATGCCG